TTTTATATAAAAATAATTTAACAATTCCTACACTAACACTTATCATCAAAACAAACACAATTTTACTTAATTCCCTTACTGTCAATCCATTCACTAACAATCTTATCACTATTAATTCCCTCACTATGAATTTCCCTCATTCTACTTCTGAAAACTAACGGGACCTTAGTATAATGGAATTTCATTTCATAAGATGGTTGGTTAGAAATAATGACCGACAACCAACAGTAATTGCTTAAAAGTTATTAATTGGAGGATGGTGGTGAGGGTAACAACTAAATGTGGTGTGGTGATGAAACTCTCGTTTGGCTATAAATTATTTGGTTAAAATAATTAATAAAGATAAAAAGGATAAAATTTTACATTTAATCTATAATTATTTTAATTTTTTTATGACAACAATCAAATCAATTAAAAAAAAATAACTACCATCTCAAACACAAATTTTTTTGTCAGATTAAAATAATTAAATAATTAAATAATTAACTAATATAATCTAATCTTAAACAAGGCCCCAGAGTAACATTGGAATTGCTCTAATCACCGACAACCAATAGGAATTGCTTAAAAGTTATTAGAGCAATGGTAGAGGGTCCAAATTCTGTGGCTCAAATGTGGTTCAAATGGCCAAAACGATGTCGTTTTGAGTACAAAACAACATCAAAATGGCCAAAACGACGTCGTTTTGACCATTTGAGCCACATTTGAGCCACAGAATTAGGACCCCCAAACATTTTTGAAGTTATTAATTGGAGGATGGAGGTGAGGGTAACAACTAAAGGTGGTGTGGTGATGAAACTCTTGTTTGGCTATAAATTATTTGGTTAAAATAATTAATAAAGACAAAAAAGATAAATTGTTACATTTAATTTATCATTATTTTAATTTTTCTATGACAACAATCAAATCAACTAAAAAAAATAACTACCATCTCAAACACAGTTTTTTTTTTGGTCAGGTTAAAAGAGTCGAAAAGTCAAATAATTAACTAATATAATCAAATCTTAAACAAGGCTCAAGAGTAACATTGGAATTGCTCTAACAAATATATTTTTGTTGACAAATTAATAAAATGTATTGACTAAAAAACTAAAAACATTAAAAAAACAATTTCTTGTTTGCTAATTAAACACATAAAAATAAAATAAAAAATTGTCTGGAGAACAGGTAATAAAAGTTTTCCAACCACAAAACAATCACTCTATTTTTAGTTTTGAATTTTTAAAAATAATTTTTAATTTGTAATTTTTCATATTTTGTTGTTTTTAATAATTTTTTAGCTTTTAATTAATTGTTTTTTATTTTTTATATGTATTGAATCTAAATGTACCTAAAAAAAATAAAATATTTATGATTAAAAAAATCAATAAGTAAAACAAATATATATAAAAACACTGAATTTTGTATATATTTAAATTATTTTTTGTATTTTGTGAATATTAAAAAAAAAATTTAATTGTTTTTATATGTATTGAATCTAAATGTACCTAAAAAAAATAAAATATTTATGATTAAAAAAATCAATAAGTAAAACAAATATATATAAAAACACTGAATTTTGTATATATTTAAATTATTTTTTGTGTTTTGTGACTACTAAAAAAAAATTATTTTTTAATTGTATGTTGATTAAGTAATTTAAAAATTTTAAAAAAAATTAAAATATATAAAAAATATGAATTGAAAACTTGAAAACTGATTTTAAAAATTCTAAAACCAAACAAAATGAATTGTTTTGGAATCTTTCCACTTCTGTATCATTTTCTTGTGTGCCTGAAATTTTAAAAAATAATTTTTAATTTTCCATATGTAAATTAAAATATTTTTACAAAAATAAAATTATTTTTTAAAATTCAAAACTAAAAACACTGATTGTTTTGTGGTTGGAAAAGTCATAGTATTGTGCATGAGCAAATATATATGGCCCTGACTGCCTCCTACATGCACGGCAACTACTGACCACAACAACCAGTTGTCCTTTCGTCCTTTGTTTGATGCATTCCCTCAATGCGGGACAACTACTTACCACCGTTCTCCACACAATTTTTGTGGTAATTACATATTTTTAACTAAAATTTTTAAATATTATAATAAAAATACGTAACATTATTACAAAATATATAATTTATTTTTAAATCATAAATTATTATAATTTTATCAAAAAAAGAGATAATATTTATCATAAAAATATATATAGTACACACGTTACCTTATTATATATATACACATACATAAACGTGCTAAAATAATTACAGATAAGTGTTAACTTTACAAATATTAATTATTAAAGTCATAATCTTTTCTACGAAGTTATAATGAATTTTTAAAGGTATCATTGTGTGGTAATTTTTCATTTTTAAAATTGTTAAAATTTATAAAATTTGAAAGAGAAAATATCAAATTAGTTGAATTTTGAAAAATAATTATAAATTAATGATAAACTTTATAAATATTAATAAATAAAATTTTAAATTTTTTTCATCAATTTGTAATTATTTTTTCAAACTCCTACTCATATGTATTTTTCTCAATTTGAAATATGTTTAATGGTTTTAAAAGTTAGATGATGTAAGAAATTATCAAATTTGTTATGAGGAGTCATCGCAACATTTCAAAGGAATTAAGGCCAAGTTTGGGAACACCCCAAAAAGTCAAAAAGCCAAAAAGTTACTCAAAAAGTTAAAAAATTATCACTATTCACCAAAAGTCAACAATTACGGCTGCACAACTCCCAATTCTAATTTTCTCCTACAAATCAATTTTTACAATTTTTTATTACACATTTTTCCATAAAAAGTCAAAAAGTTAACCCAAACATTCATATTTTCAACCTCAACTTTTTAGTCTAAAAAGACAAAAAGTGCACTTATTTAGTCTTCCCAAACTTGGCCTTACTAGAGATGCTCACGGTTCGGCGGTTCGGTTGCGGCTAAAGGAACCTCAAATCCTCCATCCGTCAAAAACTAGGCGGATTGGAAAAAATCAATCCGCAACCGTCCGCTCGTCATCACGCATCCGTCCAAAATGCGGCGAATCGGTTCGGTTTGGTCTGATTGGGCGGATCGGTATATCCGTTGCTCACCCCTACCTAGAGGGAACAAGTCATAGTTTTGTGACTGTTGCATCGGTATTTGAGTTCTTCCTACCGCAGTGGGCTTGATCTTCTTAAAGAAAACGAGATATCTGTGTCTCAGTCTGATCTATTTGTATTTTATTTATTTAAATTATTTATCAATAAAATATAATTCTTTTGGTATTTTCACAAACACATTCGAAGAATAAAGGCAGCGATTCAACCGACAAAGCTCGATCTTCCGTTGAGTTTTTTCTCCAATTCTTCTTTATTTTTTTTCCCTGGTGAGTTTTCTAATCTCTTTTTGTAGCTGATCTTCTCTTCTCTGATTATCTTCTTATTCAATGGGTTTGGTTTTGATTTTGGATTTTAGGAAATAGGAATTGATTTTGGATCTTTAGGAAGATGAAGCTTTGAGAGGGTCATAAAGATTGTTCTATGTAATTTAAAAAATTACAAATATTTTATTATTAAAAAAATTTATTTAACAAAATTAATTACAAAAATAAAATTTATAATTGTTCTCTTATACAATAACAAAATTACATAAATTATTAATTGAAACATATTTATAACATTATTAAAAACTGTTAATTGATTTAATAATTTATTAATAAAAATAACCATTTGTTATGAAATTAAAAATCTCAAAGGTTGAAATATTATAATTTCTAAAACTATAAAAAAATAATTTATATTTTAATTAAACCTCAAGAGATATTGTTGGCTACATATTTTGTATAAAGCCAATCACAGTTCAACACGTAGTAGGTTGAGGGTAATACGAGAAGACAATTCAAACCTTCGATCGTGATCGTTCACGCGGCAGTTAGTGTTGGTTCTTACCAAATCTGCGTCACACTGGATTAGCAAAGAAGTGCAAAGTGATGTGTCTTCAACGGTTACTCACATTCAAATTCAAAATCAGGCGGGAAGCCTAACTGCAAGTAATGGCATAGTGAAGCTAATTATAAGGCAACAATCAGCAATCATGGAAGAGCGATTCGACGGTTAGAAGTGCAGTTCGATGGTCATCCTTAAGAAGTATAAATAGCAGAGAAGGCCCCAGAAAAAGGCCCAGACTCAGATCCAAAAAATCAGTTTTATCTACTTTATTTCCTTTCCAATTTTACATTTCCTATTCTTTGTATTTCTGTACTTTAAAATTCCTGCACTGCACTTCATTCATAGGAGTAGTTTCAAGTAAATTGTTACTGTAAGCCTCTATGAAGCTGAATTGAATCATTGTAAGTCTTTTGTTTTACTTAATGAAATACTGCAATTGTTCTTCATTTAATCATTGTCAGTTTATTTCTCCTAATTAAAGCTACCAGTAAAAGTCCTCTTCATTGAGACTGAAAGAACTAAAACACAATCGTCTGATAATTGGTTGGCAATTAAATTTCTGTAAGGACTGATTAATTCTTGTTGGCACGCTCACAATTACAAAAATAACCTTCAAAAGTCAAAAAAACCAACAGAAAAGTCCTCTTCATTGAGACTGAAAGAACTAAAACACAATCGTCTGATAATTGGTTGGCAATTAAATTTCTGTAAGGACTGATTAATTCTTGTTGGCACGCTCACAATTACAAAAATAACCTTCAAAAATCAAAAAAACCAACAGATATATTTATAATTTACCCTAAAAAGAAAAAATCTCCACTAACTCAAACGTATACTTTATATAATATAAAATATAAAGTAAATAAATTTTTTTAATATATATCTCTTCAAAAAAGTATATCATATACATCTTATTTTTTTATTTAGTTATTATTAATTTTTTTTATTATGGTTTATAAATTCTTTAATTATTAATTATATCATTTTTTAATTCTAATTTTATAAATTAAATTAATACCATTTTTTTAACTTATAAAATACATCCAGCATAGTGTTTTCCAAAATAAATTACTCACTCCTCCTCGAGTATTTATATAGACTTTTCGTAGTTGAACAGAAGTGATATCCGAGCTTTTGAAATGGCAAGTCTTCGTCTAGCTTTTCATTTAATCACCATCTCCATTCTCATCTTCTTCTTATTAACCATCTCAACTCCGTCCACCGCCGCCAGAGAAGAAGAAGATGAACATGTCTTCGTGAGGAGAATAGATCGCAAATTAATAGGTCTAAAAAAGAAAGAGAAACTGAGCCATTTCCGATTCTACTGGCACGACATTCTCAGCGGCCGCAATCCCACCGCCGTGCAAGTAGTTCCGCCGGCGTCGAACACCTCGGCCACACTTTTCGGATTAATTAGAATGATTGACAACCCATTAACGTTAAGCCTCGAAATGAAATCATCGAAAATGGTGGGTAGGTGTCAGGGATTTTATGCATCGGCGTCGCAACAAGATCTGGGTTTTATGATGGTGATGAATTTTGCTTTTAGTACCGGAAAGTATAATGGAAGCACCATCACTGTGCTTGGCCGGAACGCCGCGTTGAATCCGGTGAGGGAGATGCCGGTGATCGGAGGGAGCGGGCTTTTCCGATTTGCTAGGGGATATGTTGAAGCTAAGACTCTTAAGTTGGATATCCTCACTGGAGATGCTACTGTTGAGTATAATATTTATGTAATGCATTATTGATCATGTTTTCTTCTGGTTTGTCCTTTTTCTTGTTTTCATTATCATTTCATAGCTTCTTCAACTCCATTATTATGCTTAATTATTGTTTTTTTTTTTTGGGTCCATAAATTTGATTTTATAATAATATGTACCTTGCGTACAAATTTTGTAGTCTTTCATTGGTCTTGTTTGGCAGAAGTTACGATTTGGCTTAAAATTTAAAGAAAAAAACAAGGGTTAAAATAGATAATAAGATAAAATATCACATTAAATTCATAATTATTTTACTTTTTCTTTCACAAATATCACATATAATTACAAAAAAATTCGATCATCTTTCTAAATATAAAAATTTTAACCTACTAAAATAATCAAAAAATTAAAATAAAAATAATCCCCTTTCCAAACCAGGCTAATGACGTATAGGCCTCTTTTGAGAATATGAAAAATAATAATAATAATAATTTATTAATTTATTGACTTATTTAATTATATTACTTCTCAAATTTTTTATATATTTCTTTTAAAAAAGTCAATAAGTTTGTTTTTTTCATACTATTTAAAAGTTATTTTTTGAATTTTTTTTAAAAATATGAAAAAAATAGAAAGATAAATGTGATTTAAATTTTTTTTTTAACCCGTGACTTAAAAAAACTAAAAAATCAAAAAAAGTTACTTTTAACCGAGTTGCCATAACTGATGTTAATTATAACTTATTGTCATAATTAATTGAGACATTTACACAGAAGTTCTAATTCATAAACTTAAGTCTCGTTTGGCAAGTGTCCCTTTTAGTAAAAAAATTAAAAAGTTATTAAAAAAATTAAAAAACCAACAACACATATTAAAAAGTCCAAGATTCTATTTTCTCTCTACTTTTTGCACATCTTTTCGTAAGAAGGCAAAAAGTCATTCCAAATATATTAATTTTTTTTAATCACATTTTAGCTAAAAAGTCAAAAAGTTACTAAAAAAGCCTGTTCCCAAACGAGACCTTATACTTTATTAAGTTCTAACTAAATTTTTTTGGATCTTATTAAATTTTTATTGGTTGGAATTGTCCTTTAAACAATGATTGTCCATCATTTATGATTATCTATAAATAAACATGATAATCTGACATTTATTTTGATTTTTAAAACTTTAAAACATCAACTTTTAAATTGAAAAAACTATTAAAAAAAAATTATGTGCATTTTTTTTTGAAAAATTGAAAAAACTAAATTATTTTTTTTGTGCAAAACTAAATATTTATGTCTATAAAGGAGCATGATAATGAGACATTGAGATGAAATTGAAAAATAAAAAACTTCAAAAATGAAAAAATTGATAATATTCTCAGTTTTAAAATTGGAAAAAATTGATAATGTTTTCAGTTTTATTAGATAGTTAAATCAAACTAATAAGTACAAGGGCAAAAACATTTAATATCATATTCTTTTTTTTTTCTTCCAATTAGTGAAACAATTATCTGGAATATTACTATGCAAAATTGATAATATTCTCGATTTTATTAAATAGGACTTATTAGTACAAAAAATCTTAGATAGGACCTGAGCTACCATAACATTTGTAAATAGGACTTTTAGGTAATTAACTCTAATTAATTTTGATTTAATTTTAATTATGATATTATGACTTATTGTAATATTAACTTATTGTGATGTTGATTATGATATTTTTATTTATGATACAATTATATTTTATGATGTGTTTTATTATAATTTTTTAATTATAACTCTTATAAGATTGAGTTATAATATTTATAGTAATTAAATTTATATATATTATAATTTACATAGGTTAAATAGTGTCTATGTTGTGATGACTTCGAGCATGTATGGAGAATGGGATGGATAAATCGCATGAAATTTAAATTTATCTAGAGTAGATGAATAAAACAAACAATTTAATTAGTTTAAAATTATATGAATCAATAAAAACAATGTTGACCTGTTAAAAATATTAAAACTTTCTTTTTCTACAATATTATTATTATTTTTACCTACTCTGATATTATAGGAAGAAAATTGTCCTCTTTGAGGACAGGGAATCCTCTGCTTTTTGTGTGGTGGGGTTGGTGATTGGGTTTTTAAATGTTGAGATTTTGTTCGTACCACTTGGGTGATAGAATAATAATAATTAATCTTAATAGTGATACATTGATTAACAAAATTCAAATTACTTCTCTAGTATTTTTTATTATAAAATTCAAAATAATAATAAAAATAATATATCAATATACATACTAACTACCCACATTGTTAGGTGACCCAATTATGTGAATCGAATGCCAAAACATGCATATTTTATGTCTTACTTATTTGTTAATGTCTTCATGCATTTAGTATTGCACAAAATTTTAAAAAATAAAAAAATTACCCGAATGCCTTATGCTGTGTTTGGTTGAGGGATTTGAGGAGAGATTTAGAAAGGAAATGGAAAAGGTAGGTGAAATGTGAAAAAATATACCTACATTTCACATAGTTTCACACACCTTTTCCCTTTCCTTTTCCAAATCCCTCCCCAAATCCCCCAACCAAACACACCATTAGTAAATTCGTACATAAGACTCTGTTTGGTTTGTTTCCTAGAATATGTTTTCAGTATTTTTTTTAAAAAAATTTAAAATTAATTTAATAAAAAAAACCTTGTTATTTGTGTATAATTTTATTTTTTGAGAAGATAAAAATAATTTTAAAATATCTTTTATGATATTTATTTTTATTAAATTAATATATATTTTTTAAAATAATATTCTAAAACAAAACCAACACACGATTTATGTGTTTTCAAAAGGAAAGGTTTTCAAAGGACAGCACAACATTTTTAACGTATGGTAAACTCACAACTTGGACTAGCATGCGGGAATGGTGAATGCAATTATTTTGGTTGCTTTTTTCCTTTGTATTCTTTTGACAATGGTAGCTTTCAATGTTTCTGTTGGCCACTACTTTTTTGACCTCTCAAACAAAATATGGGTTGGTTTGGAAAAAAGAGGTGTTGGATGGAGAAATTTCATTCAAAATATCATAAAAAAATAAAAGATGCCTACTCTTCTAGAATACGAGGTATTAAAAGTAATAAATACTATTCCGGGCATAGATTCAATAATGACTCTACAATTAGGTCTTATGGATTTTATTTTTCTTTTATTATAAGTTGTCAGATTATTTTCTTTATCTTTTTGTATGTCTTTTTTATAAAAAAAAATTAAAAAATTACTGAATTTTTTTTTTTTCAAACAAGGCTTTAGTGTCCAAATTTTAACTTATCACACTGTAAGTACCAATAAGTAGAAAAGGAAATTTCAATTTTTATTAATCGGATTCTAAAATGAGCCACACAATGGGGTAGCCCTCCCTATCCAAATTATAAGCTCTCAACCTAAAAGAGGAGAGTTAGATTTTAAATTATTGACTTATTTATCTCACATTTCACTGAATAAGTTTCGATTATTACATTTGTTTACATGTTTTATTTATTATTTTATATATCATAATCGATATGATTGGTCGAGAGTTTTAGGCATCTTTTTTAAGAAAATTCATGAACCATAGAGCTGATTCCTTAGGGTACCTCGTCAAGTACCTATCCTTGTAATCAACATAAATCATCCCGAATCTCGAGCTGAAGCCCTCGTTCCATTCGAAATTGTCCAACAATGACCATTGAAAATATCCCTTTACATTCACCCCATCACTGCCAAAAATCAAACCCATACAGATCAGTTATCCTAATTGTACATAAATTAATCATACAATCAAATACAATTCTTAATTTCTAAAAATTAAGATCAAATGAAAGATTTTGAAACATACCGAATAGCATCAAGGAGGTAACGAAGATGATGGAGGTGGTAGCTTAGCCTCAACTTGTCCACGCGAGCTTCCTTAATCGTTAGTTTCTCATCATTCAGCTCATCAACTCCTACCAAACATTAATAATCCTTGTCATTAATTTATTTTGAGACAATATTTTCGCAATTTATTTTGGCTTCAAAACAGAGAAAAACATATGAAAATGCCGAATGATTTTTATTTTTTATATAAAGAAAATAGGGTTTGAAAATTCAACTAAAACACGGTGATTTTTTTTTAAGAGAAAAAGAGAATCTTATACATTACACATAATTTTAATTGCATGAATACATATAAAATGTGAAATAAATTCAATGATAAATAATATTTTTTGAGAAGAACAGAGATTAACAAAATAAAAATAAAAAAATTACCATTTTCTGTAATGTAAATAAGGGGATTGTTATACTTTTCCTTTGTGTAGACCAAAAGATCATAAAACCCTTGTGGATGTACATGGAGCCAATATGAATTAGCCTGCAACAGCATTTAAACATGTAATTAAAGTTGTATATATATATATCAATGCAAATTTGAACTATGAAGGGTTTTTTACCTTTGGACCAATGGAAACTCCATTCTGTTCAGCTACCAACACAAAATATGATCATGAACAGTTATATAATATAAAGTTTATAAATTTAAATAAAAAAAGCAAATTAATATAAAGAGTTGATTTTTAGGATTCTGAAATAATATATGAACTTACTTGAGTAGTGAACCATAGGGTCTGTGGCATAACTTAATTTTCCAGTGGTAGAGTAGTGTGATGCTAGTGATGATGAAGAAGAGGCATCTGCTACATAATTGGCCGTATAGTAATTTATTCCTATGAAATCAAATGATCCTTTCACCATCTCTGATTCTGTTTCTGTGAACTCCGGCAGCCTGTTTCTTACAATTTTTCTCATGCTACCGGGATAATCACCCCTTGTTAGCGGTTCCATGTACCTAATAAAATTCACATGAAAGAAAATCAAAAATTATTGTGAAATTAACATTCGGGCACATGCATGTTCAAGTCATGAAATCATTCTTATCTAAAAATACATAGCACTCACCAACCAAACATGAAATCAAGGGCTCTTTGAGCAGCATTGCAATCAGAACTCGAATTAGATTGAGGCACCATCCAGTGTGAGAGAAGCGTTATCCCAATCACACCCTTTTGACATTCCTGCCGTACAACATGTTCAAACTTCAATTGTTTTTCTCCATTTTTTTTTTTGTTTGAGGATAAGGCCCTATTCATGGTAGGATATAAAATGGGGGATTAAAGAAGATTCGTCTGAAACTATGCTTATTACATTATCTAATTCATGACTAGTGGATCCCCTCCCCATATAGGATAGGCTTCTACTAATTATTTTTCGATTTAGGATTATTCCAAACATAGTGAAAGATTGGTAACGAGAGAGAGAGAAAAGAGAGAGACTGAATGACTGATATATTCAATGTCTGTTGTTGTATATGTATGTTACAAGAGAATGAGCTCTCTCTTTATAGAGAGGAGAAGGAGACAATGGAGCACCAAAAGCATAAAACAATACATTAAAACAATATAAAAGCTACTGCTAAAGCTGAAAGTGTGTGGTAGTGGGTGTTTGCCCTTTACAGCTATAAATGCACTATAGTACTATAGTGTGATGTATATTATATATTAACAGCCCCCCGCAAACTCAAGGTGGGTAGGCATCGACCAAGTTAAGTTTGGAAACAAGATCACGAAAGCGCCCAGGAGGATGAGCCTTGGTGAAAATATCAGCAGGTTGATCGGCAGAAGCAATAGGGAGAAGATGAACAGTACCACGTGTAACATGCTGTCGAATGAAATGACAATCAATCTCAATATGCTTGGTGCGATCATGAAAAACATCATTGTGAGCAATCTGAATGGCACTCTGATTGTCACAATAAAGAGAGGTAGCGCCAGAAGAGGAAACACCCATATCAGTGAGGAGCCAGCGAAGCCAGAGAAGTTCCTGAGTAGTATCAGCAAAAGCTCGGTGTTCAGCTTCGGTACTAGAACAGGCAGTGAGGGATTGTTTCTTGCTACGCCAAGTAAGAAGAGAATCCCCTAAGAAGAAACAGAATCCCGTGGTGGAGCGTCGATCCGTAGGATCCCCAGCCCAATCAGCATCAGAAAAGGCACGCAGTTCAAGAGAAGAGGAAGCAGAGTAGTGAAGGCCATGGAACAGAGTGCCTTTAAGGTATCGAATGATGTAGAGTAGAGCAGTATAGTGGGGAGTGCGAGGAGCCGACATGTACTGACTAACAATGTGAACAGCATAGGCAATGTCAGGACGAGTCACTGTGAGATAGACAAGACTACCGACGAGCTGGGGATAAAGAGTAGCATCATTGAGGAGAGCCCCATCGAGAGGAGTCAGACGAATCTGAGGATCAACTGGAGTAGATGTAGTTTTGCAATCAGTAAGACCAGCACGAGCCAGAAGATTGGATGCATATTTGGCCTGAGATAAATAAGAACCAGTAGAATCATCAGAGACTTCAAGGCCTAAAAAGTAGTTAAGAGTACCAAGGTCTTTCATCTCAAACTGACGGTGGAGAAAACGTTTGAGGTGGAGAATACCAGCTGCATCATTACCAGCGATAATCATATCATCCACATACAGAAGGAGAAGAGTGGTACCATGAGGAGTAGTCCGTATAAAAAGAGCAGAGTCATAGGAGCTAGAGGTGAACCTGAAGTCATGAATGGTAGAATTGAACTTAGCAAACCAAGCACGGGGTGCTTGCTTGAGGCCATAGAGGGCACGCTGTAGTTTGCAAACCTCATGAGGGGGAAAAGTAGACCCAGGTGGAGGTTGCATGTAGACCTCCTCAAGAAGATTACCATTGAGGAAAGCATTTTTGACATCCATTTGAAAGAGCTCCCAGTGGCGAGCAGCAGCAACAACCAGTAAACTGCGAACAGAGGTAAGCCGAGCAACATGGGAGAAGGTTTCCTCATAAACAATCCCATATTCCTGGTTGAAACCCTTGGCAACAAGACAAGCTTTGTAGCATTCAATAGAGCCATCAGAATGAGTCTTGATTTTGTAAACCCATTTGCAGCCAAGCGCAGTTTTGCCAGGAGGAAGATCAACAAGATCCCAAGTATTAGTTTTGTCCAAAGCTTGGAGTTCATCAGTCATAGCTTGCTGCCAAAGAGGATTAGTACAAGCCTCACGATAGGAGGTAGGTTCATAAGTAGAAAATGCAGCAGACCCAACAATATAATCACGAAGGTGGATAGGAGGTTGAGTTACTCGGTGCGGTCGACCCGTAGGAGGATCGGTGGGAGGAAGAACCGGTGGAGAAGAAGGTGGTGCAGGGAGAGATGGACCTTTAGGGAGAGCAGTCTGGTCGGGAGCAGGAGTGAGCAAGGGCGTCTCAATGAAGGAGGAACCTGTATCAAAATCATCAGAGAAGAGATCTATGGAAGGATTAGTAAACAGTACATTAGTGGAAAGTGCAGGTAAGTGAAAGGAGAATAGGGAGGAAAACATTTGGTGCTCCCAAAAAACGACATGGCAGGAGATACGAAGACGCTTAGAGAGAGGGTCCCAACAGCGAAAACCTTTATGTTCAATTCCATATCCAAGAAAGCAACAAAGACGAGAACGAGGTTCAAGCTTGGTGTGTTCATGAGATTGAAGGAGAACAAAGCAGGCAGAGCCAAAAACCCAAAGATTAGTATAGGGAGGGGGAGTGCCATGCAGACGTTCAAAGGGAGTTTGATTATGAATGACAGGGGTAGGAGCACAATTGATAGTGTAGACAGTAGTGAGGGCAGCTTCCCCCCAAAAGCTTTCAGGGCAGGAAGAAGAGAGAAAGAGAGCGCGAGCAGTGTCAAGAATATGCCTATGTTTCCGTTCAGCACGGCCATTTTGCTGGGACGTGCCAGCACAGGAACGATGAGGCAATGTACCATGACTCTGAAGAAAAGAAAGGAAATCTGAATCCCGATATTCCATAGCATTGTTAGAGCGAAAAAGTTTGATGGATTTAGAAAATTGGGTGTGGATCGTTTGGGCAAATCGATAATAAAGGGTTTTGAGTTCAGACCGAGATTTCATGAGAAAAATCCAAGTAAACCGTGAAAAATCATCAATAAAAACAACAAAATAACGAGATCCCCCCATAGTAGTAGTAGGGGAGGGGCCCCAAATATCCGAATGTATAAGATCAAAAGGTGCACAGGAAACAGAAGTACTTTTATTGAATGATAAAGTAGGTTGTTTGGCAAGTTGACAGGGTATACAATCGAAAGTATCTGGAATTACATGACCCAATTGTCCACTAGAAACCAAAGACTTTAAACGATTAATAGAAATATGCCCTAAGCGACAATGCCAAAGATGAAAAGGAGATAATGAGGAAGTAGATGTAGGAGCAGCGATCTGAAGAGAGTCAGGAACATGAAGGTGAATGAGCTCATAGAGACGTCCGTGCTTACGGCCGATCCCAATAGTCTGCCCCGTCTGAGGGTCCTGCACCAAACAATGAGTAGCAGAAAAGGTGACAGTTAGACCAAGTTCACATAATTGACCAATAGAGATAAGGTTTAAAGTGAGAGCAGGGATATGATAAACTTGAGGTAAAGATAAAGAAGATGTGGAAACAGTACCAATATGACAGACAGTCATGAGAGAACCATCAGCAGTTTGAATTGAGGGAATATGAAGAGATGAAGAGATGGAAGAAAATATAGTTGAACTGGAAGTCATATGATTACAACAGGCCGAGTTAAAATACCAAGAAGAGTTACCTGGAATCACAGACAAAGTAGTATGAGGAGGTGTACCAGAAGGGGAGAGAAGGTGTTTGAACATGGCCTCTACATCCGTTGGAGAAAAGAAAAGGGTAGACGGAGCAGGAGACTCAGAAAAACCCTCAGCGGCAGCAGTAACAGTGTGATGAGACTGATTCCCGGAACGATGAAAGCTCCCTCGAGGAGACCCACCGCGAGAAGAGTGGTTGTTGGAGGATGAGCGGAATGGATTGCGAAAACAATCCTGTTGCAGATGACCAGGACTAAGTTTGTTGTAGTATCGGCAGGTTCTGACGGGGCAATTGACCAGGAAATGTGTTGAAGGAAGGCCCCGATTCTGACAGTAGAGGCAGGCAATGGTCCGTTGGGTGAATGATGGCCAGTACAGAGGAGTGGCAAGAACAGAGTCCACATGATGAGTTTGGAGAGTACCAAGACGAGTCTCCTCTGATAGCAACTCAGAAATAGCTTGTTCCAGAGTGGGCAAGGGATGGCGATGAAGAAGAGAGGCACGCACGGGCTCAAAAGATGAAGTGAGAGCCATGAGAAAGTGCACCAACCTTTGCTGATTACGATAAGCAGTAAATAAGACAGCATCTTCTCGGTGAGGCCAAGTCGGTTCGGAAAGAGCAAGCTGGTCCCAAACGGAGTACATTTGAGAAAGGAAGTCATTGATGGACTGACTAGATTCTTGGCGCATCCGATGAAGTTGGCTCTGAAGTTGATATTGATGAGCAAGACCAGTAGTCTGGTATCGTTCTTTCAAAAAATCCCAGATGTCTTTTGCAGGAGTAGTGACAGAGTGAAGCTGAAAGCGACCAAACTGAAGACTGATAGAGGTAACAGAAGTATTTCGAAACCAGGTAATGATTTGGTAATTCTTACTGTCCCATTCCTCAAGGCGATCTTCATATGTAGGAGTAGTAGGAGAAACAGTGGTTTCAGCAGTGTCTTTCACCGGTTGGGTCATGTCCCCGGTGATAATTCGCCAGAGCTTCTTTCCTTTGAGGAAGGAAGACATGGCTTGGGCCCATAGAACATAGTTGGAGCCATTCAAAATAACGGAAATGGGATGGGAGGCATTATGACGATCCATAATAATAGTTGAGTAGGGCTAAATTGGTAGGAATAGACCTGTAGGAGCAAAATTAGGTAAAACAGAGTGTACCAGTGAGTCCGGAAGGTCGAAAATAGCTAGGAAAGGTGGGCTGTGTAGAGATGATGTCAGCATGATGGAAAATGATGTCAGCGGCGCACGGTAGCAGAGAGGGCGTGCGGCGTACAATAGCAGAATGGCGCACACAGGTGCACAATATTGGAACGGCACACGCGCGGCTCACGGTAGACGAATGGCGCACGCGGGTGCACGGTAGCAGGCGTGGCGCACGAAAAAGCAAAGTGGAAGGCGCGTGTGAGTGTGGCAACGGAAGCAGAGACGCGCCGAGCAAAAGGGCGGTGCGTGGGAGCGTTTCTGGTGACGGGCTTAGTGCCGTTGGAATCGTAAGAAGATTCCGAGCTGTTTGGTGTAGTTCCACTGTGTACGGAACTAAGCACCAAAATTGAAGAATGCCAGAATTGTATTACTGTGCTCTGATACCATGAAAGATTGGTAACGAGAGAGAGAGAGAAAAGAGAGAGACTGAATGACTGATATATTCAATGTCTGTTATTGTATATGTATGTTACAAGAGAATGAGCTCTCTCTCTTTATAGAGAGGAGAAAGAGACAATGGAGCACCGAAAGCATAAAACAATACATTAAAACAATATAAAAGCTACTGCTAAAGCTGAAAGTGTGTGATAGTGGGTGTTTGCCCTTTACAGCTACAAATGCACTATAGTACTATAGTGTGATGTATATTATATATTAACACATAGGATAAAACACCCGTAATTTTAAGATTAGTAATCCGAAGGCTACTTATTAGTCTCAAGGCTTAATAGTCCCATATAATTCAATCCAACAAAACAAAAAACATAGCTAAAGAATAAAATTGATACCTGAAACTTTTGTCTATATAATTGGACAGCAACAGCATGAGCAAGAAGTAGGTTGTGTGATACCAAATAAGGTTCAGTTGCAGGATCTCCATTCATAGGCTCCAAGGAGGAAGAAGAACCTCGACCCGGCGCATGGATACCCGTAACATACCCGTTTTGGCTGAAGGTCACTGGCTCATTTAATGTAATCCAATGTTTCACCCTATCTCCAAATTCCCAAAAGCAAAGCTCCGCATAGTCACAGAAGTCACTCCTATAATCACAACAAGGTTAATATAACAATTATATTTTAAAAATTAGGGTTTAAGTTTCATATTTTTTCACTTTGAAATTATGAAAAAAATATTTTAATGGCCAAAGTGAGAAAAAAAATAATAATTTAAAGACCAAAGTGATAAGCTATGAAACTCAAGGGGTCAAGTGCAATTTATCAAATTTTATGCCAAGTGCCTTTTTCCGTCGAATGGAAGTCAATTTTAAGTGTAATTCGCATAAAATTACAAATGCTGGGGGCAGACTGAAGAAATATATATATATATATATAACAATATTAGATGACCTGAAAAATCATGGCTCAAATGGTTCGAAACACCTAAAATAACTTCATTTTGGGTGTAAAACGATATCATTTCGAGCCATTCGACCCATTCGATGGGTATGCATTAGTAATGTCAATTTGGGTTTACTTCTAAAACTCTCTCCCTTTCAGAAATTTGTATAGGAAGATCAGAACTTACTGGTTCATTTATATACTCTTCAATTGGAACTCATGAATCTGAATGTTTCTGTGAAATTCAGGGCCAGACCGAGAATGGTAAACCTCCATGGCAGGGGGTATGTATATGCACACTGATTATTTGCAGCTGTTCAGAGTCTTTTTCTTTTAGTCCGTGTTAATTCTTTTGTTTTGAATTAAAGGAATATTTTTTTGAGTGGCACAAATTAATTAATCAGATTCTCTTAATTAAGTTTAATTCATTGTTAATTCAATTGTAGGTGAGAGATAGGTGCAGAAGCGAGTGGGCTCAGTTCCAAGATCGTCTTGCTGATGCAGACAAGGCATACCTTGCGCATATTCCCATTTAAGTGAATCAATCTGCAGAAACTGATTCAATTCCACTTTAATCAGTTTGTTCTTGCGATCAGATTGCGCCGCTGCTCATCATCACCACTCGCAAGGTTCCCTCTCTCCCACCCTTGGTTGTTCCCTTCACGAGGTAATTTTGGTCTCTCTCTGTTGTATTTCACATTCGGAGGAAATAGGTTATGCTTTAGGGTTTTTCTCTGTCAATTTTCTTCGAGTTTTGACAATTTTTCTTCAAATTGAATTCTTACAGATCGAAATCACGATCTGCTCTAATGTGGCCCAGTTATGGTGTCTCTTTTTAGTGCAATTTTATCCAAATGAAATGAATCACATTAAAGTTTTAATATGTTAAACAAGTCGTTCTCATATATACATATACCTTGAACTGATGATAAAAATCAATGCCCACGTCTGCATTACTGCCATCGCTAATTTTACCTACCATTTAACATTTTTTTAGAACAAAAGGACATCGTTCATGATATATATCAACAACTGAAGATATACAAATAAACCAAAATTCTAGAGCATTCATGTTAATCTTTTGTGAAGAAAAAAAAAACCCATGTAAATAGCTAAATTTCTGCAGTTGCTTTTCTCTGCTCCCAAAGAATTTTCATATTTTGATTGGAAAAAATCTGAATGATATTTGGTGATTGGTGAAGTAGGCTCAGAAATTTTATCTTCAGGAATTGACACATATAGAGATTGGCTGAATTTTTAAAAATAATTCAATTACTTTTAGCTAATTGCAGTGAAGTATTTTTTATATTTTTTTATTTTTTTAAAAGAAAGAAAATAAGGTCAATTTATCCATTACACATATAAATGCAATGAAGTGTATATATATATATTAGTGATTTTTCAAGATTTAGTGATGTCAATTGACCGATACTAATGTATGTGGCATAGTGACATGATCTATGGTTCAATGCAACCGATAAAGTAATGGGTAAAAATAGACAAAATGTTTTTTATTTTTTAAAGCAAGTTGATGCTTTAGACAAAAAAGTATCAAATTGCTTCTTAATATAAAAATGTCTAATATCACATTACTTTGCACATATCTATCCTATCAATTTATACTCTTATTCATGAATTTCCTTATCTCGTTTTTACCAAGTAGCCTTCTCTTCTTATGTCAAATGTTAATTTCTACTAAGACTATTTACTTAACTTACTAAAAAATACTTTCATCACTAAAACAACATAAAAAATATAGTATGAATTCAAAATTAAAATTTATATTTTAATTACACCTATCGGGGTAGACTCATGTCCTAATATATACATATATATATCAGCTTGCAAGAGAGAGAAAGAGAGGGTGGCGGGGAGAGAGAGACCAGGCCGTTGATGCGTGAATGTATCCCATATACTCGGGCCTCTACCTCCTTCATTTGCTGCACCTTCATACTGAAAACACAAAAATAATAAATACAAAAAACACAACCAAAAAAAACACATAAAAACAAACACCACCACGTATAGAACCTACACTGGTTTAATTTGAGGGATCATCCCCCAATGCCCCTTAGGGTTTGACTCTGCAATCTCCACTCTAGAGATTGGAAAGTATACTGCTAGATCTATTTGGTATATAATTTAATGTAAGTTAAAAGTTGATAATAAAAAAATAGAATTCAAAAATAACACTTTTTCATCTTCTTGATAAATTATTTTTTTGGCTTAATTTATTTAAATTATTTATACGGAATAAGTTTCGAGTAGAATTACTATGACACAAGGCCATGATTTTTTTGTTTTTTTGGAGGGGGGGTTAAGGAACAAAGCCATGATGATGATTATTAGTAACTACCTATAACCTTATTTTTTACCCATTTTTTTTAACTCCGAGAGTTCGTATGTTTTCAGAGTTAAAATAAAAGATATTATTAATAAGAAGATTATTAGTGAGAGGACTATTAGTAAGAGAATTAAGAAAAATTGTGTTTATTTGATAATAGTGGACTACTAATAGTTCATGTTTGTTTTGAGAGATAGGAATGAGATTAATTATATAAAATTACACAAATACTCTTATTGTATTTGTATTAAATTTGACTTTATACCAATTAATAAATGCATTATCCAATTTAACGATTCAAAAATTAAAATTAAAATTACATAATTAAAAATAATAAAAAATTCAACTATTAATCTATTTATTATTATTATTATTAAAAAAACCAACCAATGGTTTCTCCAAAACCAGCCCATGGTTTTGAATTAAGTGTTCATCCCATTAACACAAAAAAAAGATGTTGCCTTTTACTTCATCCATCTAAGGTCTACCCAGCTATTACTTCGTCCATCTAAGGCCGACAGTGACGGGAAAGAAGATCAAGATCGTCAAACTTAATTAGAGCGATGATGTTGCTTTATTTGGGTATGATTTTTTTTTCTTACAAATTTCTGGATTTGTGGGTTTGTGGATGAGAACGACGATGTTGTCTTATTTGAGTCAATTTTTTGTAAATTTTTGGATTTGTTGATATTTTCTGAAAATCGAAAGAAGAAATAATGATAAAACCAGCCCATGGTTTTGAATTAAGTGTTCATCCCATTAACACAAAAAAAAGATGTTGCCTTTTACTTCATCCATCTAAGGTCTACCCAGCTATTACTTCGTCCATCTAAGGCCGACAGTGACGGGAAAGAAGATCAAGATCGTCAAACTTAATTAGAGCGATGATGTTGTTTTATTTGGGTATGATTTTTTTTTTTCTTACAAATTTCTGGATTTGTGGATTTGTGGATGAGAACGACGATGTTGTCTTATTTGAGCCAATTTTTTGTAAATTTTTGGATTTGTTGATATTTTCTAAAAATCGAAAGAAGAAATAATGATGGCTTCATTCGGGTATGATTTTTTTTTTTCCTTGCAAATTTGTAGATTTGTGGATGAGAACAACATGTTGCCTCATTTGAGCCAATTTTTTGTAAATTTATGGGTTTGTTGATATTTTCTGGAGATGGAAGGAACATTTTTGTTGGCAAAATAGTCATTCACACTCTAATATTGATGGCTTAATTTTTAATACCAAGTCCTTTGGGCCTATACTAATTCCCTCGTTGGAAGGGATTTAGAGTCTGAACGAATTATCACTTCAATGACTATTTTACAAACAAACGTAATATTTTAAATCCGACCTCACTACTAATCCTAATCTCAAACCTCAACTCGAAAAACAAATGGGGCATTAAAGATAAGTGATGGGGGTAACTTTGGGGCAAAACCCACAAAGCAGCCGTTTTGAGACCTCAAAAAAGGCCTTAAAAAAAAAGGCCCCAAAAAAATAGGCCTCAAAATTATAGCAAGTATTATATTGGTTCAAAAAATAAATACCCACTTGAGTTAGAAAGATTTAAAATTTCTTATAAGAAGAGAACCAATCTAAATACATGTGAGATATAATTACAAACATATAACAAAACCAAAGTTTTTACTTGGTTTCTGACAGCAACCAGAATTAGAAGTATTCATCTAGTTTTTAAAAACCTAATTGAAGAACTATCATATTTCTTAGTTTTTTATGTATTGGTTTTTTTTATTTGTTCAACTATGATAGAAAGTCTCAAATTTGTAATATAAAGTTGGGTTTTAAGATACAAACTCTATAATAGAGATAAATTTTTATTTTTGTTTGATTAAATATTTATTTCATTATTGATTATATATATTTTGTCTAATGCGATTATATAATTTTATTATTTTTTATGTTTCTCTTAATTTTGATTTGAAATGATTGAGAATTAAGTTAGTATTATGATAATATTAATAATTTTTGATAAACTATATCAAACATATCACTATTCCTAGAAAGTATAATTTTGGACATGAAAAAAAGAGAAAGAAACAAAGAATAAAAACTTTTAGTTTATTTTTTATTAGGTATTTCAACTTATATTTTAGTTTTTTTTATTATTATAAACTTTATTATATATTTAAATAAATTTTAATAGTCTTTTGGTGAGCACTATTAAATGTAAAAATTTAAAACAAAATTTAATTTATAATCTTTTCATTAATTTTTCTTTAAATATACATGAAATGCCTCATTATAATTTACTTTGAGTCCCGAAAAATCAGAGTGGACGCTCATAAGTAAATTAGTCCACATATATTTATTAATGTATGAGGCTCATTACTTTATATCTAAAAAGTAAAAAAAAAAATAAGATAAAAGAAGTAAAATTATATATAGCATCGCGTCGCTTTGAAGCGAAAGAAATAAAAATAGCAGAGAAAGCAGGAAAGGTAGTTGCCTGGTACGCAGCTGAAGCTGTCCCAAATATAAAATTGTCAGGGAAACATGCGCGGCCGAATCCCGCAAGACCGTGTTTGGCTTCTTCTTCTTGAGTTATCTCTATAACTGGTTTTGCATTAATTGGGGATGATGATGATGAGATGATGAGATTGGCTGCTTCCATAACTTCTACTACTACTACTTCTTCTTCTTCTTCTTCTTCTTCTTCTCATATATCTTGATGGGCTTTTATAGATGAGCTGAGATGAGATCAGGATTCTCCACATCATATTATCATATATTTTTTTCATGTTTGGATGACACTGACATCTTCTTTCTGCCCTTCTCTCTCACTATTTCTCTCACTACTCAGCAACTCATCCAGCTTTAAGTTTGTCCTTTAATCTTTTGGATAAAATAAAAAATAAAAAAAAATAAGAAAACATTGGATTTCATCTTCATGTCCATTGTTGGTAGGCCTGCAAGTAGCCGCCACCATATTTGTAGCCATAAATTCTTGACAGTATTTGTGGTTATAAATTCTTATTTCCTTCAACCATACAAATTGACGTGTAAACCAGATAACCAATCAAACCCATATCTAAAACAGCTGGCTATAGCTGGCTATCACAGAAGAAAAAATTAAGGTAAATCCAGATCTAAAAGAGAGGAACGTACTAAATCTAATCAGAGTGGATCCAAGAAAAGGATGCCCCAGGTCACACGAATTGATTTCTTGGGATTTTGATGGGTGTTAAAGCGGTTATGGCATAAAATGTATTTACTATTTAGATATTTTTATTATTTTTTTCTTTTTAAATTTAAATGTTACTGTATACATTGTACGGACCAACTTCTTAGTTTCCTAATATTTTTGGTCTATTGCAGGCCAGCTCAGACATTTTATAGGCCGAAGAGGCCATTCATATATGTATATATATATATATATTTTTAAACAATCGTGATCAAAAGATTTCGGGTCAACTTGGTGTCTAATATTTAAGAGCAAGATTGAACCGTTTTGTTCGATTTATAACTTTATTGTTTAGCTTTATTTTAATAATTCGAACCATTTAATATGTAAAACTCATCGAGTACTATATTCTTGCAAAAAATCACGTTATCGGATATCGATAGCTATTTGATCAGATCAGATTTGTATAAAAAATAAACGTTGAAAATATAAACGGTTGACAGGAATCTGATCTGATCGAATAGCTATTGATATCCGATCAACGTGATTTTTTACAGAAATATAGTATTTGACGAATTTTATATATTGAACGATTCGGATTATCGAAACAGAACCTAAATGAGACCATGGGCCAGATTGAGTCCAGTCTTGATCTCAAACATGAGATAAGCTGAACCCAAAGATTTATTATTATTGTTATTATTTTGAAATTTGACATAAAATTTATTTAAGTATTTAACAAAGTTTACAATAAAAAGGATAAATAATCCAAACTCAGGATTCTTGTTTTTTTAGCTTGAAAATTTCTAATCAAACTTACATAATTCAACTTATAAACTAAATTATTTTTAATGAATAAAATTGCTAATCTATTCAATAATTTAAACTAAATTATTTTTACTGAAGAAAATTGCTAATCTATTCAATAATTTGTTTATTTGTTTGGTGGGTAAGTCATATATTTTATATAAAAAAATTAAATATTACAATAAAATTCATTACATGTCTAAAAAAAATACATCCTTCAAAAAGAAAAAACAATCATAACTACTAACACACAACATAATCTACCAAATGATTTAAATAAGTCGACAATTAGCCTAAAATAATACGACACATTGGCCAAATAAATTTTAGATAAAGTTAAGTGGACACTCAGGCCTCGTTTGGAAACATGCTATTTTAATAATTTTTTGACTTTTTACGAAAAGATGTGCAGAAAAATAAAGAGGTGATGTGATAATTTTTAATAACTTTTTAATTTTTTGACTAAAATAACCACTCCTCAAACGAGGCCTTAGCCTAAAATAATACAACACGTTGGCCAAATAAATCTTAGATAAAGTTCCGTCTAATCAATACTATTTGGTTTGGATCAAATTAGCCCATGTGTTAGGTTTTATTTCTTGTGATGTGATAATTTTTAATAACTTTTTAATTTTTTGACTAAAATAACCACTCCTCAAACGAGGCCTTAGCCTAAAATAATACAACACGTTGGCCAAATAAATCTTAGATAAAGTTCCGTCTAATCAATACTATTTGGTTTGGATCAAATTAGCCCATGGTTTCCACTAAACAATCTATTTCATAATTGGGTAAGTTACACGTGCATCACTTGAGGTTTGTCATTAATATAAATTCTTTCCTGACATTTCAGAAATTACACTATTCCCTTGTTAGAGTTTGTTGACTAACACCCTTAACAGAAAAATTAAGATGATTGTATTATTCTTTCATGTCATCTACTCTGTATTGAACCACAAGCTGATGTATTGAAAGCAACAAATGTTGAGATTGCTTTCATGGATTATTGACAAAGACCATCAATATTGTAAATAAGAATCTAATCTTGCAATCACTTAGAATCCATAATAACCGACCACTACGCATCACTACAATATTTCAAGCTCTTACAACAACCTCACTTCCTACCACCAACCACCACAATTCCTTCAACTCTATGCCAGCCCTAGATAATATAATTCAACGGAGCATTTCTTTAAATAAGTCAAAATAGTAAATCAATTTCCAAACTAAGCCTAGTTTTGAAAGAATTTTCAAAATAGGCTAAATCGCGATTGTGAACCACGATTTCAACACATATACGCCTCTCTCGCGTGGGAGTTGGAAAATCTTAAAATCGTGGTTACAAAACACTCTTTTGATTAAGAAATCGCGGTTACAAAACGCGCTTTTAATTAATTTTTTTTTTCTTCTGAACTCGCTGCTCCAAACCACGATTTTAACCAAATTTTTTTTTCTAAACTCGCTGTTTCTAACCACGATTTTATCAAAAAATATTTTTCTTCTGAACTCGCTTTTGCTAACCACGATTTTATCAAAAAACATTTTTGTTCTGAACTCGCTCTTTCGAACCACACTTTTTGGTCAAAAATTTTTTCTTCTGAAATCGTGGTTATGAACCACGCTTTTAGTGTAAATTTTTTTTTCTTGATTTTTTTTTTTTGTTTCTGTTGTCATTGTTTTGGTGATAATGTATTTCAGAATAATTTTTTGGGTTACAATTGTTTTACTAAAACCGTTCTCATGTTAATTTTTTTTTCTTTTCTTTTGTCTTTATTTTGGGTTAGAATGTGTAATTCAGCATTTTTTTTTGGCTTGACTAAAGTAAATTTATTTTGTTTTTTCTTGTGTTTGTTTTGGGTTAGAAGGTAATAATGTAATTCATAAATTTTTTGAGCTTTAGTAAAGCCGTTTTGATGTAAATTTTTTTATTTTTTCTTTATTTTGGGTTAGAAGGTGTTATTCAGTAATTTGTTTGGGCTTTAATAAAGCCGTTTTCATTTAAATATATATATTTTTTCTTTTGTCTTTGTTTTGGGTTAGAAGGTGATAAGGTAATTCACAAATTTCTTTTCGCTTTATTAAAGCCATTTTCATGTGAAGTTTCTTATTTTTTATTTTTTTCTCTTGTCTTTGTTTTGGGTTAGAAGGTAATAATGTAATTCATAAATTTCTTCACTTTACTAAAGCTATTTTCGTGTAAAGTTTTTTATTTTTTTTCTCTTGTCTTTGTTTTGGGTTAGAAGGTAATAATGTAATTCATAAATTTCTTCACTTTACTAAAGCTATTTTCGTGTAAAGTTTTTTATTTTTTTTCTCTTGTCTTTGTTTTGGGTTAGAAGGTGATAATGTAATTCAGAAAACCGATTTCGCTTTACTAAAGCCATTTTCATGTGAAGTTTTTTATTTTTTATTTTTTTCTCTTGTCTTTGTTTTGGGTTAGAAGGTGATAATGTAATTCAGAAAACCGGT